CCTTTTCCCTTCTCTAAAAGCCGCGTCTCTCCCTGTCGAACATCCAACGCTCTCGAGGACCATTTTTCAAGGATTACTTGAAACGATTCGCTGGAAACACCGTCGCCGTCCAAGTTAATTCGTAGTCGGACGAAACAATTCAACAGGCACTTTGTCAAATTTTCCGAAATAGTATATCCACGCTGTTAGCTGACAGAATATATTTCGTCGCCATTCCTTCTCGATTCTCCCCCTCGGTAGTTATCGATCATTGATAAGTTTCCTCGCGATAAGTAACTTCCAATGGAACTTATTAATCATTTTATTGCGAGTTTATAACATGTTTATTCGAACGACAAGCATCCGTCTAATTCGTAGAATTTCTGGAAACGAGCAGATCCTTCTGCCACTGTTACGGTCGTTCGAGTGGCTGGAAAAGAAATTTAATAATATCGAAGGAATTCTAATTACACATATTTGACCGTAATTGAACGGTCTTTGCCGGCGTTGGTCGCCGAGAATAATTTAATTCTCTTTTCACGAACGTTAAACCTGCTCGTTTTTTTACGGTGGCTCGTTTCAATCGCTCCCATTTTTCCCCTTTTCCCCCCGTTTCCTACCTTCCCGCCGCGTTCATTCCACCTTCCTCGGCCTGCCGTCGTCTAGTCGAGCTTGTAAGTCGGTCGTGAAACGACCCTTAAGGTGAACGAAATCGAACACTTAAAATCGTTGCATGGGTGATTACCCATTCAGTACTTTCGTTAGAACGATAAACGTTCCTCCGTTGCTGCGAGGATCCTTTCTCTCTCTCTCTCTCTCTCGCTCGAGCAGCTAAGCTCGAAACCGATAAACTACTCGGAAATCGTGCTTTTATACTTCGATTGTCGATAATGAGGTCATATTACCGATCGACGTAATATTTCTGTGCTCTAACCATTTGCTCGATCGTTTTTCATTTCTCTCTCGCCCTCTTTCTATTAGCAGGATTTATTATAATTGAGCGAAGGATTTTGAATTAATTTCAATTGGTTACTTGACGAAATTTAGACGAACTGGGCTGAATAATTTAATTAAAATTAAAATTAAAGAAGCTAATAGCGAGAGAGTTAGAGTGGATATATTCTGAAATGTGTAGTAAATAATATATTTTCGATTAACTGATGTTCTGAAATAATTTTTTTTTTTCGCTTTTTTTTCAGAATATTCATGTCACGGAACTTGGATCGAAAATGACACAGCCTATTTGGTCGCGAGCACCGAGAAGGGGAGATACTGTCTCGTTTACAGTGCATCTGCAGCGGCGACAGGAAGTCGCGAGCTCTCGGTGACGGGACATCTTGCTTCCTGTCCGAGGGCCTCTCATCGTCATGTAGTATCGTGGCAGGTCAACCTCACGTCGTATGGTGAGCATTGTATGCACTCGAAAGTATTGGCAAATTCGGTCTTCGAAAGACATGGAACAATTGAAAAATTAACGAATTAGATACTTCAAAAAAATTAGGAATCCGGAACTTGAAAAAAGAAGAAAAGTAAAAAAAAGGGAAAAAATAAAAAAAATTGAAAGATTAGGAAAATGTGGTATCGATTGGGATATCGGGAAAATTGAATACTGAAAAATTAACAAATTAGATAATTTAAAAATTAGGAAAATTTAGAGTTGGGTATTTTGAAATTGGATGTGCGAGGGTTGAAAATTTAACAAGTCAGATGTGTCAATAGAATTAACAAGTCTGAACTTGGGAAAGAGTATAAAATTGGAAAATTAGGAAAATTTAGAGTTGAGCATTTTAAAATCGGGAAACTAGGGAATTTGAAAGATGAAGAAATGGAAAATTTAAAGAATTGAAATATTCCTTCGCGGCATACGCAATTGGAGGTTACAAGCTTCCAGTGACGGCTCATCTTGTTTCCTGTCCGTAGACTTGCCACGATCGTTTAGTATCGTGGCGGATCAACCTCACGTCGTACGGTGAACATTGTCAGCGACGTTCCTGATTATCACGCGTCTCATCTGTGACACTGATCGTATTGTGCGAATAGTACCGTCACTCTCCCCGTACTAATTAAACAGCTGATTCGATTTATCTTTCAATTTAAATTGAGTACGATCTGAACCCGATATTGATGGAGACGTTGACATTCTGAGGATTTCTAAAGGAAATTGATCAACGGAATAATACTATCGATAGATAGACAGATAGTTAACAGTTTGAAAGCTGCCCTCAAAAAAATTAAAAAAATTCAGATACTTTGAAACTGATAGATCAGAAAATTAATAAATTAAAAAAATTAGTGGGTTGAGGAGTTAGGCGAATTAAAAAATTCGGCAACTGGTAGATCGAAAAATTACGGATCCTTTGCACTGTAATTGTTTCCCCAGTTTCTCCACGGCTAACTTTGATTACATTTTTTTCCTGTCAATTTGTTTCAATTTAAGTGCACGAAGCGTCACATCAGAGTTCTAGGAAAAAATAGTCACATCACAGTGCAAAGGAAAACTGATAAGCCTAGCCTAACCGTGAACGAACTTTTTTTCAGCTCAATGCGGCGACATCTCGACGGCCACGTCGTGGACCTTCCGGATTTCCGCCTCGGTTTACATCGTGGCGGTGCTGGGCACCTTGTTCGGCAGGTATATCGCAAGGTGATACCACTGAGTGAAGAAACTAGGCCACGTGACGGCCGTGTAGCACCAACCTACACAAAACTCGAGTCGTCGGCATCACTAACTACAAAACAACAACAGCAACAGCAACAACAAGAACAAGAACAAGAACAGCAACAAAAGAAGTCTCTATATATATAAATATAAATATATAAATATAAAATTGAAAAAAATATATATATATATAAATACAAAGTATATATATATTAAGCGAAACGATTAAGGGATGGAAAAAGGAGAAGAAAAAGAAGATCCCAGAGGATCTCGTGTGAGAACGTGTATCGGGAGAAAGTAACCTAAATAATCAAGCATAAGTAGCGTGTAAGTGTCCGTAGCTGCGATTCGTGCGGAGAAGAGAGAAATTGGAAAACAGAGAGAGATTTGGAGAGACGTTTCGATAGAGAACCTAGTCATAGCTTGGAACATGGCGGATCGTTAGATCAGACTTTCGATGTACATAGGGACATGTGTATAAAAATTCAACTTATTAAAGGAAGCTTGCGTTTCATTGGAGTAGCTGCTTCTGGAGGTATATATTGTCTTCTTCTTTTAAGGATCAGGGAGAATTCGACTGTTTTTACAGGCGAGTATGTGCTGTCTTTTTGATGGGCTGATTTGGGTGATTGGATCTTGAGAGTTACCTGGCAAATTTTTCATTCTCGTTTATTTGTAGATTAGTAGACTTTGACTGTTTGTTGATCTTGCATTTCTATTGCTGGGTTATTTATACTCTTCTACTTTTTAAATCGAGAACATGATTATTAAATCTTATTCTTCTGTCTCTAAATTGGCGAATATCTATTTCACACGATTCACTTTAAATATATAATTTCAATCGATTTCTCGCGAAGATACGCCCAATTTCTTGTATTCCAAGAATCAATGATCTTGAAATTTCCCGATTCTTCACCCTGCTGATTAGAGATCTCCCTGGCCAATTGCATCGCGGCAAAACAATTTAAAAGGAAGCACGAACAGGAAAAGGACAGAAGGAATTTCAAAAAAATCTCAACTAGTGAAAAAAAAAAACAAAACAAAACGAAACGAACAAACAAACAAACAAAAAAAAAAAAGATGAAAACTAAGGGTGCTGGGGCCAATACTGTGTGCATTCTGAGTGGTGATACTAGCCCACGTGTCTGTGAGTGAGAAGAGCCAGAATAGTAAAACGAAGAAGAAGAAGAAAAAAAAGAAAAGAAACGAGAGGAGCGAGTGTATGTGTGTGAGAGAGAGAGAGAGAGAGAAACTTATAGCACTTATTTAGGTCCACGACGTGTCTGCCATGTTCAAAGTGGTGGCTGTTCTCTCCGGTTCGAAGAGAAAACGTGTATTTGCTCGGAACAGGAACGTTTTAGCTGTAATTATACGCGTTTTAATCAAAGTTCCACTTCACTCGAGTAAAAAAGAACGAGAGAGAGAGAGAGGGAGAGAGAAAGAGAAAGAGAGAGAATTTTCCTGTCGTGTGCGTGTATGCGAACGCGTGTGTACGAGTGTAGAAAGTTAAGGGTAACGAAGAGAAAGGAAAATAACAAAGAAAGAAGAATACCAACGTCTGGAGAACAATTTTTTTTCTCCTCTTTATTATTACTACCATTGGACCGCGGATTTTTCATGCGTTTCGCCGGAAATTTGAAAATGTAGTATACTTGATTTTCCTACCTAGTTCCAATCTTTTGAAGTTCTGTATTGTATTATTATTCAAATTCGCATAAATATCCGTGGTCTTGTTACGATTGTCATAAATTGCATTGTTGCGAAAAAAAAAAAAATGCAAATCGACTTCTCTCTTTTTTCCGTGGCGCTTCTTCCGCCTGGTTTTCTTTCAGTTCTGGCCACACCTCGGCTTTCACTCGTGACTCACCATCCCCGAAACAAGGGCGACGTTGAATCGTTAGGACGTGTCGAATGCCAACGTTTTTCACACTGTTCTGAGGTGAATGCAGCTGGATCGAGGGGACGTTCTCGCGATCCGAACGGCGTGATCTCTCGTTTACGAATTTTTCACCCTTGAAATGGTGATTTATACTGACAATTTAAACTGATTTCTGTGTCTTAGCCCTCGATTGGTATCGTTGGGTCTCTTTAATTTTGTTTAAAAAAAATTAGAGAACCTCCGAGTTACGTAACCTGATCCAAAGTGTTATCGTTATCTGTCGCTCAACGACAACCAATCAAGAGGTTAACGAAATGATACCGAATGATTTTCGATTTTAAGAAGGGTTTTCCAAAAGCGACGAGAGTGAGTGAAGCTGGACCTTTGCAAGATCGTAAGAAAGATACTCGCGATTTAAACAGATTCACTGCGACACATATACATTTCCTTTGGTAAAAATCTCGTGGAAAGGGAGGAAATACTTCGGAGAAAATTTTGTAACTTATTTGCGTGAATTTTGTTGATTGCCAAAGAGGGATTACCGAAGAGAACCACGACATATCGAGATGAATCGAGAGACTTCGAGCAAGAGGAACTCTACGAAGCTGCTAGAGGTAGCGCTAGATAATCAATTAGCTCATCAACTAACTTCCTACCAAAAGCAGATCCTACAAAACGAACAAAATAAAGAAGGAAGAAAATCCGATACCAAAACAAAAGGAGAGAAAATTACTTAAAAAAAAGACGCTCGA